TTCCATGCCGTCGCAATCGACCTTCTGCCAACACGATCTCAAACCATAGCAATCGACCTTCCGCCGTCGCAATCGACCTTCTGCCGACACGATCTGACTATAGAGGCTGTTCGATCTGAAACCCTTCCATGCCATTGCGATCCTATCCTCAATCTCCACGACCTTCCGCCGGAGCTAGGATTTTCAGTATTTTTTAATTAAAGATAATAATAATTATAAAGCATTTTAAGCCATTAATGAAATAAATTTTATATTAATTGATACTAATTAATAATTTTAGTATTAATTGATACTAATTAAGCCATTAATTGATAATAAATTAAATTTAAAAAATATTAATAAATTGGTATATTTTGTAACAATTTTGTAATAATAAATTAAAAAAATATTAATTGGCATTTGTAACAATTTTTAACAAATTTAAAAAATATCAATTAATATTCATGTATTTATAAACTAAAATGAATATAATTTGAAATTTTTAATTGGTATTTCAACATTTTTCAAAATTTTCTCATGATCATTCTCACCATGCATGCACCACTTCTAATTTGAAAAAATAAACTATAAACTAAAGAAAATAAAATAAAATGAGGAAAAAGAAAAAGAAAAAAAATTAAGAGCAGAAAAGAAAAGAAAAGAAAAAGGAAATAAGGAAAGAAGATAATAAAAAACAATTAAGAGAAGAAAAGAAGAGAAGAAAAAATAAAAATTAAATTAAATAAAATTAAGGAAAAGAAAAAAAGAAGGGGCAAAAATGACATTACACAGCAAAAAGTTATTTACAACTTATTCAACCAAACATTACTTTACTGATTAAATTCATAATCCCACAATTGCACCAAACAAGTTAACAACTTTCGTTTAAAGCTATAAGTTATAATCTGTTAAGTCATAATCTAGAATCAGTTTCCCACAGTTCTACCAAACGGGGCCTCAACTTGGTCAAATATCAACCTCTTAAAAATTATTGCTGTGAGATATGCAGAAGAATTTGGGGGAGGGTATGGCCACAACATCAAAATTAAAATAATACAAAAAAAAAATTAGAGGTTGTTTGGTAATGTTTTTGTTTTCAATTTATATTTACAAAAATTTAAAAATTTATCATAAAAACTTGTTTGATAATGTTTTTGGATTTATAAATGGTTGTCTCAATTTCTAAATTTGAGAAGAAATTGTAAACTCAAAAAATGAGTTTACGTTGGTTTTTAAACAGAAAATGGAAGCCTAAAAATGCGGAGCTACAATAACACAGACCATGGTTCGAATCTGCGGAAGGGCATTTTTCAATTTCCCAACTACAACGATAATATATACGTTATCTCTAACTCTACTCATCTTCTTCCTTCACTTTGTTGTTCAAAGAATCCAGAAGAAAGAGAAATGGAGAGGGGTATCGTCAATCGAGGCCGGGGGAGTTACGATCAAGGCTGGAGGAGAAGGATCGAGGCCGGAGGAGAAGTATCGATGCTGGAAGAGTCACGATCAACACCGGACAGCTCTCTCTCTCTCTCTCTCTACGAATAACTCTCTCCCCCCTCTCTCTCTCTCTCTAACAACTCTTGAATCTTCTTATAACTTCCAGCAAAGAGGACCTTCTTCATCAAGGAAATTGAACCCTCACTCTCTTGGTGTTCTCTCCCTCTCCCTGTTTTCTTCTTTCCCTTCGGCTCTCTCTCTCTCTCTCTCTCTCTCTTTCTCGATTTTTCTCTCTCTCTTTTTTGTCTTTCTCAATTGTTCCAGTAACTTCTCCTCTTTTTGACTTCCCTAATCCCCATATTATTCTAATTATTATTATTATTATGAGATATTTGTTTCCATTAACTAATCCATGTGATTGTAGATTGACTTTTATATATATATATATATATATATATATTCTTTTATTAGTTAATTAATAAATATAAATATTTTAAGCCTTAATAAACATGTTGTTTATTTTATGTTTTTAAAAATTTTCAAATATTTTATCCAAATCAAATGCGTTTGTAATTTATATTTTTCTAAAAATAAACAAAAACCAGTTTATAAAATTTTTATAAACATAAATAAAAAAAACGTAAACGTTACCAAATGCTAATCCGTTTGGTTTAATTTTAAAATTATAATTTGAGTGTGGAGTTATATTTTAAGTTTTGAATTTTTAAATCATGATTTGAAAAGAGAAAATTTGTTTCGTTATGAATTTTGAAAATAATTTGTAATTTTTTATTTTATTTTTTGATTGATGTATAGAAAATGAGAGACTGTGAGAGAAGAAAGAAAATATGATTGATTGATTGATTAATAATAATAATAAAAAATAAAAATAAAAAAAAGAAGAGAGAAGTTTTGAAAGTAATTTTAAGTTATATTTTAAAAATGGACTGTGCTACGTAGCTTGAAACATTGCCCCCCTAATCCCCCAGAACCAAAAACGATGCCGTTTTTGGTTCAATCAGAGAAGAAGAAGCAGACGAAGGGAAGAAGATCGGGAAGAAGAAGGGAAGAAGAAGAAGCAGAGGCAGACGGCAGCGGCAGAGGCAGACGGCGGACCGACGATTGGCGGAGCTGCGACGATCGGCGGAGCTGCGACGATCGGCGGATCGGTCGGAATGCAGGGGCCTCTGTGTGTGTGTCTCCATTCCCTCTCTCCGCTTCGCTCTCCCTCTCTCTCTCTCTCTCCCTCTCCCTCTCCCTCTTCCCCCTGCGTTTCAGATCGAAAATGGTCGAAAATAGAAGAAAAAAAAGAAAGAAAAAAAGCCTAATGCCCAAAACGACGTCATTTTGGGCATTAGGGAGATTCGGGGGGCAATGTTTCGAGCTCTCAAACATTATCCTTTAAAATATGTCTAATTAATATATTACATCTAGATCATGATTTTAAAATATAGTTATATTTTGAAAAATAAATCAAACGCTACCTAATATTGTCAACTCGGTCTAGAGACGAATTGGGAGGATTAGGGACAGCAACCTAAAAAACAAATTCATTGTTAAAAAAGTTATTTTTTTGAATTCGCACAATTCATTTACAATATTCATTTTTAAATAATATAATATAATATAACGATAACAAGTGTTACAAATCAAAATCAACAAGATGTTACTTGGCCAACAACTTGAGAGGCATAAACTAGGGCTGAGTAAGGAATCCGTGAAATCCGTAATCCGATCCAGTCCAGTCCAATCCGATAGGTTTGGATTGGTTTTTTGAATCCATGGTTCGGTTCCGGATTGAAGAATTAAAAATCCATAGTCCACGGATTGGTTCCGTATTGAACCCCACGGTTCCGGATTGGAACCGATCCGGACCGTATACAAATAGTCTATATTTTTATTATACATCCTTACCCATAGTATCTTCGCTTATTCCATATAAAACCTAAACTCAAACCTAAACCTGTTTAATATCATCTTTTATTACTTTTGTTTGTTAGTTTTTAGTTTTAACTTGTAATGGTCTAAATACTTATGGTGAAACTAATTTTCTTATTGTTGTTTAAATTCTAGAACAGTATGTCGCTATTATAAAGACATATTGCTATTGTGGAACTAATATAATGCTATGTTTATGTTTTTATGAAATTAAAGTGTTATATATATATTTTTATTATTTAATTATGTGAATCCGTGGTCCTAAACCGATCCAATCCGTATTTAAATGGATTGGTTTGGATTGGTTTGGATTGGTTTAAACGGATTGGATTGGTTCTAATTTTGCAGGAACCGTAAATAACGGATTGGTCTTGGTTTTACACCAATCCGGTCTAATCCGGACCATGCTTACCCCTAGCATAAACTTCTGGTGGTCAAAGCTTGGGCATACAGTGTACTCTCTTCATGGTCTAAAATTCAAAACCTCATAAATGTAAATAATTTTTTCGGACCAATTCGTCCGGTACTTGCCCTAACTTTAAATGAAACCCTCTAGTGGACAGTAAGATGGTCCCCAAATTAGAGTTGATTTGAAATATCCTAAAAAATGTATTTTTTAATTTTTTACGAAAATATATGTAAAAAATAGAGAGGTGATGTGATGAAAAAAAAATAAAAAAATGAATTATATAGTGTACCTCAAACCAACCTTTAGTCGATTCTTTGAGCCGAATAACAAGTTGTATAAAAAATAAATAATAAAAATAAAAACTTGAGAGGCATAAATATTAGTACTAAGGCCTCGTTTGAAAACAAACTATTTTAATAATTTTTTATCATTTTAACTAAAATATGAGACAAAAAAAACTAACATGTTTAGATGATTTTTTAATTTTTTACGAAAAAATATACAAAAAGTAGAGAAAAAATAAAAATTTTGATTTTTTAGCATTGGTTATATAAGCCTTTTGATTTTTTTGGGTAACTTTTTAACTTTTAGACTAAAATAAACACTAGCCAAACGAGGCCTAAGAATACAGTAAATGAATTTATGCTCAAGCTAATGTCATTCTAAGTTGGGACTGGCCTTCAAGGTTCCCAACCATCATATTCATATCCCTAGAAAAGGAAATTTGAAAAAAGGGAAAGAAAAGAAAGCCGACGAGTAGGTATGATATTTTATGATTTTTTCTCCCAAAAATAAAAAATATATATATATATATATATTCCAAGAAAATCCTTGGCTAATCAATAAATAAATAAATAATCATAACCAACTTTTTAAACCTAGGCCAATTGTAAAAGGCAAGCGAGTTAAGCTATTTCTGCCTTCCTACACCCCTCCATTTTTCTGTCCAACCAAACAGTCAACTTAAAACTGCGGCGTTTCTGCTACACTCCCCTTCTCTACACACTACTTTTCTATCCAACCAAACAAATTGTTGTAAAGCCGCAGGAAATCGTGGGATTGAGGGGGTCTAGACTTTTCAATCTTTCAAAAAAAGAGGGTCACCCAAAATACAAGCAACAGATTTTGTCAAAAGCATGGCTTGTAGAAAAAAATCCAAAGACTAATTTGAAGCAGCATGTAATTTTTCCCTACCAAACAAAAGTCTAATAAAAGGCGCACACAAACACCAAATCAACAACATCCTCTGTATTTGCATTTTTTTAAAGAAGTCTAACGAGATGGGAAGGGAAATTCTTCCTCTCTCTCCAACAAGCAACACATGTACATTTTTTACCGTCTCCTAGAGCATGATTTGGCCTGTGGACTCAAGACCAACAAATGACATCTTAACTTGAAACATAACTCCTTACCTTTACTGCGAAGGTTAGCCTACCTGAGAAGCAAAGTCAAAATAGTCTGAGTTTATCAGTGCCTGATAGTAAGCTCGGCCCTGAGATGGAGTATGCCATTGAGGAAATAAAGACTATCCTCGGCCATGAATGAAGTCCATTGTATGGCAAATAAGTTGCGGTACCCAACAGCTTTGCCGCCTGTAAAAGTGTAATTGCCTTTGTATTTGCTAATGTACTCCTCTGTTAGCTTTGACCGTGCTGCAAACTCGTAGTCGACCGCAAAAGTGACAGACCCTTTTTCCTGCATTCCGAGAAACAGCCCGAAACAGTGGAACGAGCTCTGTTGGTCCATGTTGCAGTGTGCTGATAAGAAGAAACCTTGTCCACCTAGGTGGAACGCTTGGGAATACACTCGCCCGGATGGGAACAAATTTGCACACTCCTCTCGCTTCAGATCCAGGTAAACCACACATTGCTGTCGCGGGAGTTCAAACTCGACCACCTTTACTGGCCGATATTTGTAGGCTCGTTCAATGAAGCGTCGGTTTATGGTGGCGGACTCTTCTGCAGCAAGGGTTCTCTGTCGGTGCGGGGCCTCGGCTTTGAAAAATAGAGCCTCTAGCACAACCTTGGATGCAAGGTCGTGATCAAAGTCATTGCATGTTAAAACCTTCTTTAGCTTACGGGGCAGATATAGCAGCGCAGACTCGGGTGTCATGGGCAAATTGCGCAATAGTCGGCTGCAATACCTCATGCATGAAGCAACCTCAAACTTGTCTGCTGCCATCAGCACATCCAGCAAAGCAGGAGCACTAGTTGTAGATAAGGTATTGCTATACATAAAATTTAGGAGCTCCATGAGGGCAGCTTCCTCTGGTCCATGAGAGAAAAAAAAAGTGGCCGTTATTTAAGGTAGCATAACAGAGTCTATTCCATTCTCACAAATCACTTAAACAAGAGGAACTGTTCTAACGGAATTAGCATGACCTAAAACATACTCAACCATATTGCAGAAGAATAGAACACATATACATTATCTATTCCAAATGCGACTAGATTGAAGAAGCTAGTCATATCAAACGTAGGATGCTTAAAATTTAATCCATACCAGAAGCATTGATTCGTAGTGCTACATGTCGCTGCTCTGACTCCCTCATCCCATTTGAGAAGAGCTACACAAATGATTAAATAAAATGGAAATAAACATCATCCAGCAATTTTAGAAAGTTCAAAATAAAAAAAAATAAAAAAAAAAACTTCAAAAGGAAAATAATGATCTTTACCTTATAGAAAAATGGACTTTTTGCTGCCAAAATTGGAGAACTGATGTGCAAAGTTTTCACTCTCAAAACTGTAGAACAATCCATGCTCCAGTTTGAATCATTACTATTTCCAGCTTCATCATCTCCTACAAATCAATAATTCAAAGGCAAATACAGCAGTACATAGAGTTACATAACAGAACAATAATTTGTATAGCTGACCCAGAATAGCTAACTCATCGTAATTTTTTCTTCTCCAACTTTTCAAATTTTAAACTTAAAATACTAGTAATAATTGAAGATGGCTTGTGGGGCAGAATATGAATGGATGAAATCAAATAAATTTGGACTGATTTCTGAAGCAAATAAGAGTTGAAACTTGAAAGAAAAAATGCAATAACTTGACTTAAAAACTATTCCAATACCTGATGGTGATTCTTCAATCATTGCAACTGCTTCCTCATCTTGATTTTCACAGCCCACACCATCATCGGTATCAGGCTGGTTACAACTCAAAATCTGCTCCTCAGGGCATCCAACAGTATCCACAGCTGCCAACAAACAATGTCGGTTAACATTAGTTGAATTACACAAGGATTGCGAAAAAAGTATGGGAAGTGTACACAATATGTATGATATTGTTAGAAGGGGAAAGAAAACCAAACTGAATTATAACTCTCAGATTTTCTCAGCAACCAAACTGAATTATACACACATAAAAACGTCTAAATACACACACTTGCTTTATCATTAAAAAAAAAAATAATCAAAACAAGACTCAAATCCTGCAGATTCAAGCAAAATTCACAACACAAAAACACACAGAGATACATATACAACCAAAAAAAACAACAATAACAAGAACTAACCGTTATCTTTCTTGACATCTTCTCTTCTGCGCTTCCGATACCTAGCCCAATCGGCAAGACCGTGACATCCCTCGCCGTCCGACCCAGTCTCCGGCGAATCGGCCATGATCTCGATTCGGAGCACTCTGTCGGAGAAGTTACTATCGTTGAAAGCAAAGCCAAAATCGCCGTCGCGACCGCCGTTGGGGGAGTAGTCGGAGTCCATCACCGTCCTCGGATCGAAAAGATCCAAGCTCGTATCCCTCATACTTTCTCTCTCTAAAACACTTTCTCTCTCTAGAAGAAGATGATGACGACGAAGAAGAGATTGTTGAAGATTTTGAAAACCCTAATTTGATCACTTGGCTGTATTGTAACGAGAGAGAGAGAGAGAGAGAGAGAGAGAGAGAGAGAGGTGGCTCTGAAGTGTTTTTTTGATATTTTTTAATTAAATTATTTGCATATATGTTTTTTTAGTCTATTCATATATGTTTTTTTAGGCTATTTATAAATTGGATATTCAAATAAACATGCAAATAACATTTATATTCAAATAAACATGCAAATAACAGGTTGGATAAATGTTGGATAATAGCATTTTTAAAATATAAAGAATAAAATACCAAAAAATAATTATTATTAGAGTTCTTAATGTAATTTTATACTTTTAGATATTATGTATGTTTATATATATTGTAAAAATAGGTGGCTTGTAAGTATTTTACAATATTTTTCATATATTTTGATACTATTTCTAAATTAAGTTAGGCAAATAATAAAAGATGTGTCGTTGTGAGATATATGGAAAGTGTTGTTAAAATTAGAATAGTATTAAAATAATTAAAATCTTAATGCAATTATATATTTTTAGATACATACAAAAAAAAAAAAAAAACAGAAGAAGATAAAAATGAGTGCTAAACTAGGTTGGAATTTCCAACTTTAATGTTGTGATCTATATGATATTATGTTATGTAATGTAACTTAGGTGATGTTTGTTTGAGTGGACATGAGTTTGAGATTGAACTAATAGTCTAATAAAATTATTAATCCGATGTTTTGTTAAACAATTGAAGTACGGACTAATTATTTTAAACTTGACTATTAGTTAAGATAAGATACATAATCCAACAGATTCGTAGTCCTAAGACTATTAGTCATGGGAATGCTAATCCAGTCTGCCCAAACAAGCATAGCCTATATAAGTAAATTTTTCCATTTTGTTATTGAGAAGTCTCTTTAAAGTGAGAATCACTTTAAATTTATTTTTTCTTTATAAACTTAAATACATATAGTTATTGGTCAATTATACGTATTAGACATATCAAGAGAAAAGATTGTCCAAAATACCAGTCATATTCTACTAAGTTTTATACAATTCAAAAATAAAGCATGTATTTGCCTCGAGAGTTGAGGAATGATTGTTTGCAATGAGTTGCAACACGAGTTATTTTCTATAATGCCCTAACATAAAGTGAAATAATACTATGGGAGTGTTTTGGGAACATTCTAAAAAAGTCAATTTTTTAATTTTTTTAGTCAAAAAAATTACAAAAAAAATCATAAAAAAGTTAGTTTTTTTAGTATAAAAAAGTCAAACAACCACAAAAAAAATCAAAAAATTAACTTTTTATTAACTTTTCAAAGTATTACTATATATACTTTAAAATTATCCAATAATTACTCAGGACGAAGATCCTAGAATCGTTTGAAACATTCTCCCCATGCCATGGAATTACTTTTGATAATTAGGTTCCTGAATGGTTAACAGCAAAAATTTCCGTTAGTAAAAATGTGCCCTTTTCACTTTTTATACCTCAATGATGAGAATCAATTCTTGCATAAATTTTATTGCCACACATTAGAAGAGTCGAAGGTTGTGGATCAAATTTTACTCAAAAAGTATTTAGGTAATAAGTAGAGTTTTATACCGTTTATGACACACAATGATAAAGTTTTATCTATTTGAATGAAATTCACTAGAATGGAATGACCAACTCAATTGTCACATCTACAAGTAGAAATAATTTATAAATTTTTTATATTTTACATAATATTACCTCTTTTTGTTTGTTTGTTTGTTTGTTTGTTTGTTTGTTTTTTTTTTTTTTTGTTTGTTTGTTTGTTTGTTTGTTTGTTTGTTTGTTTGTTTGTTTGTTTGTTTGTTTGTTTGTTTGTTTGTTTGTTTGTTTGTTTGTTTGTTTGTTTGTTTGTTTGTTTGTTTGTTTGTTTGTTTGTTTGTTTGTTTGTTTGTTTGTTTGTTTGTTTGTTTGTTTGTTTGTTTGTTTGTTTGTTTGTTTGTTTGTTTGTTTGTTTGTTTGTTTGTTTGTTTGTTTGTTTGTTTGTTTGTTTGTTTGTTTGTTTGTTTGTTTGTTTGTTTGTTTGTTTGTTTGTTTGTTTGTTTGTTTGTTTGTTTGTTTGTTTGTTTGTTTGTTTGTTTGTTTGTTTGTTTGTTTGTTTGTTTGTTTGTTTGTTTGTTTGTTTGTTTGTTTGTTTGTTTGTTTGTTTGTTTGTTTGTTTGTTTGTTTGTTTGTTTGTTTGTTTGTTTGTTTGTTTGTTTGTTTGTTTGTTTGTTTGTTTGTTTGTTTGTTTGTTTGTTTGTTTGTTTGTTTGTTTGTTTGTTTGTTTGTTTGTTTGTTTGTTTGTTTGTTTGTTTGTTTGTTTGTTTGTTTGTTTGTTTGTTTGTTTGTTTGTTTGTTTGTTTGTTTGTTTGTTTGTTTGTTTGTTTGTTTGTTTGTTTGTTTGTTTGTTTGTTTGTTTGTTTGTTTGTTTGTTTGTTTGTTTGTTTGTTTGTTTGTTTGTTTGTTTGTTTGTTTGTTTGTTTGTTTGTTTGTTTGTTTGTTTGTTTGTTTGTTTGTTTGTTTGTTTGTTTGTTTGTTTGTTTGTTTGTTTGTTTGTTTGTTTGTTTGTTTGTTTGTTTGTTTGTTTGTTTGTTTGTTTGTTT